TCCTCACCACTTCTTTTATGGTAGGATTCAATCTTCTTTGTGGTTGAGACACCGACTTGAAATCTTCCTCCATGAATATTCGGTGCATATAATAGGATGGACTTATACCTTTCAAGTCGGAAAGTTTCCAACCCATTGCCTCTTGATTTTTCTTCCAAACACCAATTAATTTTTCTCTTCCTTCTTGGTTAGCTCCGAACTAATGATCACTGGCTTGTTTCCCTCTTCATAAAGAAAGACATACTTGAGATGATAGGTTAACAATTTCAACTCAAGTTTAATTTCCTCATTGTTTTCCTTTTTCAACATTTCCACCATTTCATTCAAAGGGGGAATTTCTTCTAACTCTTCAAGCTCCCGCAAGCATTTTTCAATCTCTTTTTCTTCTTTTTCATTGACATTTGAAAGAGCATTGGTAAGAAATTATTGTAATGGTGTGGGAACTTGTAGTAACTCTTTAACTTCTTCGATCACCCTTTATGTTGCATCAATTCTAAAGCAATCAGTCTTGTCCTTCGAGTGCTTCATGGCTTCAAAAAGATTGAAACATATCTCCTCATCTTGAACTCTAACTTTCATTAGACCATCATCCATATCAATTGCCATGCACGCGGTGTTCATAAAAGGTCACCTAAGAATCAAGGGAGCGTCCTCATCTTCTTCCATATCAATCACCACAAAGTCGATTGGAAACAAAAATTTGTCAACCTTTACCAACACGTCTTCTGCTACACCAGGAGGGCGAGTGGTAGATTTGTAGGCAAGTTGCAATGTCATTTGAGTAGATTTCAACTCCATGTATCCCAACCGCTTAACAATAGACAAGGGTATCAAATTGATACTAGAGCCTAAATCGATCAACCCATTGCCAACATAAATGTTTCCAATTGTAACCGGCAAAGTGACTCTACTACTTCCTCACCTACACCGATGTCAATTTCTCTACCATTTCTTGTGAGAATTGGATTGCAATGCTCCTTAGGATTTGGGATAGTGTTGCACCCTAATTTTTGACCATAAGACCCCACCTCCTCGTGCATTTTTCTATGACTATCATCCATGAATAACTAACCGTCTTACCTAGCCTTTTGTTTGTGTTGTAGGTTTGAAAGAAGTAAAAACACTAAAGTCGTGGATGCGTTCCCTAGCAGGATAAACTATTCCTATACCACTTTCCGAAATTCATTTTGTTTTAATCCCAAATCCATTATTTATCTATTAAAATTCATGTTTTAAATCCATATCTATTTAAATTAATATTTTAAATCCATATTTATTTATTTTCTTTTTCTTTTTCATCATTAAAAAATCACATGTTTATTAAAGATCTTGTTTTAAATTCATATTCATCTTTCCATCATTAAAATTCCCTTTTAAAAATTCATGTCTATTCATTATCGTTAAAACTCATACTTTTATGCGGTCCATTTTCAATTAAAATCCACTTTTGCTTTCACATTCAAACCTTTTACCCATACTACAACCAAGACCAATTTAACACCCCTGTTAATCCAATACAATGGTCATGATCCATTACAAAGAGATGGCAAGTATCAGTTAACATACATCTACAACATAGACTAAGTATGGATACATCTTTCAACTCATTGAAAAATCACAAAGTCACAAAGTTTTCTACTACAAACTTGCACTATGAAAGTAGACATAACTCCAACCATAATCTGAGATTATAAGCAAATACTGGGGAAGATCAAAGATCTCCAGCTACCACTTCAATACAAAGAAAGGGGTGATATATATTTCTGGCACGATGGATTCACATGAAATTACGAGAATACGGCGAAGCTTTGTTGGATGGAGTGTATTTAGCTGTATCCAGCTTTGCATTCTGCAGGTTACATACCATATCAGATAGGATCCTTCAGCTACCGATCAAAACCAGGTTGCGGCAGTGGCAACGGCTTCACAATCAGTGGTTGCAAATAGCGCAGCCGGGCATGTTTCAAATGGCAGGCCTTTAATTTGACATTGATGGAGAATCTCAGGAAAGTTTTCAAAGGCAAACCTCACCATCAGTATTCTACAGAAGAAAGAAGCTTCTCGGCACGGTGTAACCAACTGCAATACCAGTTCCTCCTGTTGCGTGAATTCCTTTCGGACTTGATCCCTGCCACATTAACAACGGGTTTTCATCAGACTTGTTGTTCATGTTCTTTTCAGAAACTGAATTTATAAAGAATAGAAAGAGGAACTAATTGGAAAACTTACCAAGACTTCTCCACGCCGGCATCTATCAGAACCTCCCCAGACCAAAATCTCTACAGCAGCATCATCATATAAATGAAGTTTCACAGGCAGCTTTATTGTGACTGGTACATTTTTGCCAACGCCATTTGATGAGAGGGATCGACATGGTTAAGACATCACTGCAAAGACAAAGGCGGTTAGATTAATATACTTGGTTATCCATTAATAGATTTATATGCTTGAAGGTTAAGTTTCATACTACACTAGTACATTGGAGCTTCGAGTTGTGTTCCATATAAGACATCAGGACTCCCTGTTTCGCTCTAACTCCACGGCAGCCTTTTGCAACTCTTCGGAGACGGTTGGGGCACTGAGTGTTGTATATGCGAGCTGCAGTGGTAAAACCATTGTTAGAAGCTCATAATCTGTTTAAGAGGTTGTTGACAGCAAGAGAACCCAATCCAGAAAGAATACAAATCCCGCATAGTAGAAATACCGACGCTTCAAAGCTACCATCCAGCACTGCCTATATTACTGCGAGCACGAAATGGAACAATTCAAATAACACGTATCTGTTGAGAAGCTATACTCCAAGTGAAGACTCCATGCCAGCAAGTTCCATAGCACTCCCATCAGTAGCCTCAAGGCATATTCCAACAAGAAGTAATGGCCTGCTTACCGATAAATAAGAGATAGATGTCCAATGCTATGACCACTTGTCGGGGATTCCTAACCGTGGCAGCCTATCATATTCACGACCTTCTTGAAGTCTCAAGATATTTGCAACTTCCAGCTTTTGATCCTGAAATGGAAAAAACACTGTTACCGCCATCAACCAAAGAGAAAACCTCAACTGCATTTTAAAAGTCATTAATACCTGCACTTCAATATCAGGACTTGGTTTAGAATGTTCTATTTGGAGCAGTCTTGATAGGGAGAACGAATCTGCTGTAGACCCGCTCAGAACTTGTCCACATCTGCAAAAAAGGAACAAAGTATTGAATGTTACTATGATCAATTTACATGTTCAGACCGTGCTAACCTGAAGCCGGCATCCTGAGGAGCTTCGTCGACGCATCTGCTCAATTGTTCGTGAAGAAGCCATCAAGAGTTGGCGACAGACGCGTGAGCTAATGCGAATCAAAACATCTCCTTCATACTCACCATCGAGCCCAGACGATAGCCCAAGTTCACTACAACATTCACAAAGAAAATTGAGAAGAACCTTGTCCTTTGTTTGTTTCCATAGAAGATGCATTTGATGATGTTACTATATGCAATGAGGAAAGTAAACTGTCATGTAGTCATGTAATCCCTTCCCGCCAGCTGCATTACAAGAAGGGGAATCTAGCAAGACACAGAAAGTTGTAACCTCTGGTTTGCCTCGAGTACATGTCACTACATCCGCTAATAGCTGCAATTTAACCAATGTTAAAGCATACAGGTAATTACTCAAGACATTAAGAAAGACGTACCCAAAATATCTTATAATAACCAATTTCTAGTTAGGGTCAGAAAGAGAGAGTTTTAGGAGATTACCATTGATGATAGTTGTTGTCATCAAGAGGCGAAGCGACGATGATGGCATCAAGGTTCTCGCTAGGGTGAAGGTAATATGGATTGCATGGATTCAAGACGGGATCTGCATCTTGCTTGGTGGGAGTATCAAGCTTCTTGGGATCATCTTTATCGGAAGATTTGTCAAATTCCGCGTCAGAAGCCATTGAAGAGAGAATTGAGTATGCTACGAAAAACAAAGATGATGAAGGCGGAAGAAATGATTAATTTCTTTTGATACCATAATACATGATATGCAACGTGAAAACAGAAAGATAAAATGCCATTGCAGATTCAATTCAGAGCAAAGGAGGGAAAATATAAAAAATGAGTTTCTTAAATTACAAAGAAAACTTGGCCCATTAATATATAGAAAACTATATGGGCCAACCCAAATCAATACAATGCCAAAGCCCAAAATTAAAAAAAGTTCTATTTATCTAATAACCTACAACGATGATGACGAAGAATATCGTTTTTACTTTAATATTTTGTATAAACAATATAATATTCGATGCAAATAATATAATTAGTAAACAAATTAATTTATTAATATTATGTGTAAATAATATAATGAGTATATTATATATATATATATATATATATATATATATATATATATATATATATATATATATATATATATATATATATATATATATATATATATATATATATATATATATATATATATATATATATATATATATATATATTTATATATATATATATATATATATATATATATATATATATATATATTAATTATGGTATAAGTAACTTCTTAAAAATTGAAAAATTATTGTTTTTATACAATAAAGGGACAATCATTTTTTTTATTAGATGTATGTAAACACATACAACCACAGAAGCAATTTTTATAATTATGAGCATTGTTATTACCTTTTATGTCACGCTTTAAGATAAAGCAAAAGTAATCAGATGAAATAAAAAAAGCAATTGAAGAAAAGATATACACGAAAGTAAAACAAAAGAAAAGAAAAACAAAGCAATAAAGAAAGCAAACAAAGACAAAAGGTTCTCAAAACTCTATGATTATTATTCAAACTCTTTCAAAAATAGGTCCAACCAATGGTGTGGTGCTCTCCCTACTTAATCAACCTCAATAAGACCTCTCAAAATTTCTAAGAGAGAGAGAGAGAGACTAATTTCTCAATTTTATTTTCTTCTTCTTTTTTGTAATAAAATTCTTAAGGGTTGAAGAAGCTTTAGGCATGAATAGAGGTGTTGTACAAAGCTCACCAGTTCAACAAATGATGGCTAGTAACCCTAATTGGTGGAACATCAATAACATGAGGCCTCCATCTCCACAACCTCCTCCTTTCTTTTCTAATCCTAATTCTAACTTTCTTATCCCTAATTTTACACCAAATTCTTCTTTTTCATCTTCTATTCCTTTTCCTTCTTGGCATGATAATCATCAAGACCTTCCTGAATCTTGGAGCCAACTACTCATGTACATCTCTCTCTCTCTTTAGAATCACTACTTTTACCAAAGAAATTTTAGAGAAAAACTTGAAATATTTATCTTAACTTTTCATTAAATTTACTCATCACTAAATTTAGTGACGAGAGAGTTTATGAAAATTTTACCTTTTTTGTCGGTTATTTCTGTCGTTAATTTTAATTTTTAGTAGTGATGAAATTTGAATATAAATTTACGGTGAAAAATATTTATGCATGTAATTTGTTTATATTTTTTTTTCTTTTAAATATGGTTGAAATATCTCTTGTATTATCTGATTAATAGATATATTTTTGAAAAAAATATTCATGCATGTTTGTTTGGTTAAAGAAGGATCAAAGTTTAATTAAGTCTTTCTTTTGCTAATTAATTGATGTGAGTTTTGTTTTTTGTTTTTTTAATTTAGGAGTGGAATTGTTGGTGAGGAAGATAAGATTGGAATGAGCCAATTTCAAAATCAAATGCTAATAACTCAAGCTCCAAATTCTTCTCATGTTGATGTGAAACAAGAAAGCTCAGGAAATAGCTATGCATATGGACATGTAAATGAAGAACTTAATTCATGTGTCACAAGTTTCAACACCAACAATATGTTAGATTTCTCTAACAATAATAATAATACAGATTTGAGGCATCTACCACCAGATCTATCTTCTGAGGTAAGAAAGAAAATATATTTCATATTAATTAATAAATTTTGATTAAAAATAAATTATACACCTTCTTCATTAAGCATCCATGGTTATAGCTTTTGATGAGTTCTTTATTTATTTTTTCTTTTCTTGGTCAATGAGTTACAAAACTCACTTTTCAAGAAACTTTACCAATATCAACACCTTTAAATTTGGCTAAGATAAAAAAGCTTCCATGTTTTAGATTATTTAATTAAAAATCATATTTTAATCTCCATTATACAAATACCAGCCTTTTTAGGTTTGAGTAATCATAAGGTGTTCTTTCTTTTAATTCTTTCTTCATATATTGTGGCAAAAAAGCTTGATATATTTACTTCTCTTATCTTCTTTAAACAAAACAAGCCACAACACAAACAAACTATATTTAAATAACAACTAAAAAATACTAAAAAAATAATTACCAAAACTAACATCTCTAACACCTAAAAAAGAAATTAAGACAAATTTTATATAATATTTTTCTCAGTTTTTTCTTATATCCTTAATTCAATTTTTTTTTATAGTAATAGCACTGCAATCTAACATTAGGTCTTATGAAAAATGCATTATTATTATTATTATTTAATTTTTTTGAGAAATTTAAATGGAATTTAAATTTATTAACTAACCAAACATTCTTTCATTCTATAAGTGCAACAGCACTGCATCTGGTGGGGCAATGAAAAAAGCTAGGGTTCAACAAGCTACAACTCAATCAACCTTCAAGGTATATATTTTATAAACTTCCATGAAGAAACTTCCAATTCTTAACTCACTTTCATGCATAAAAACACACAAATAAGCACACACAAACACCATGTGGGAAGTAACTATTGTCTTTCTTGCTTTGTCCAATTCTAAATCACAATGATTCTTTTTTATCTATTTTGTTTCATGAATTCACCATCATAGAAGAAAAAAAAGAATCGAAAATGAGGCTAATACAACAACAAAATATAGCCAACTTTTTAGCATGTGCTATTGTCCTTCACATTTTTATGATATTTTTTCTACTTAAATTCAGGTTAGGAAGGAGAAGTTAGGTGACAGAATTACTGTCCTTCATCAGCTTGTTTCCCCATTTGGAAAGGTAATTAATTAATCCTAGTTTATTCAATCATAATTTAATGCACATTAATTTGGTTTTATCATAGGCTTTTTAATAGAAACCCATTAACAATTCTATTTTCCTTACAAAGAAAATTTTATCAGAAAAGTTTCTTATCCCCACACAATCCAAAAAGGGGAGGATAAATTTTTTAAAGAAAAAAAATACTAAAAAACTCTTAAATATATATTCAGTGTCATCAAGCATAAATCTGAGTTTACAACAAAACATTTCTGTAAATTAATTTTTGCAATCAAACTATTAAAAAGTCCTTCGTTGAGAATTAATAAATAAATATTAAAAAGTAAGAAATAACTATAAATTTACATGTTATTAATATCAAACTATAGAATAATTTTGTATCTCTAATTATTAATACTTTATTGTTAATTTAATTTTTTAAATTATATTATAAAATCATCTTTCATTGTTACAATTTTTTTCTTCTCTCTTCTATATTTGTAGCATGGTATTTTAGAGGGAAAAAAGGTTACTTTATTAATAGTTTATTGTATTTATATTATAGAGAATTATAGTGACTAGGAATGTGACAGTGTGTTATGGTATATTTCACTTTTACAGACTGACACAGCCTCTGTCTTGTTAGAAGCTATTGGTTATATCAGATTCCTTCAGACACAAATTGAGGTGATTTATTTCTGTTTCTTTTCAAACAACCATACACATGTCAGTGATGTAGTGCACGCTGTTAAAGTTGCATTTTAAATTTGTGTTCTTCTATTCAAAATACATTTTAGATAGTTCTTTTATTAAATTCTAAAAATATTGCATGCTACTTTTTATTTTGTTTATTTTTACCTTCTTTGAAATTATGCAGGCTCTTAGCTTACCATACTTGAGCAATGGATCTGGAAACACAAGACAATCACATTCAGTAAGAATTTTAATACTAATCCATTTTAGATTTATTAAAAAATTTAGCACCTTAATTAATTCTCTAATCTTGAATATAAGCAACAAAATTGTTTAAAGATAAAAAAAAAACTCACCAATGTTATGGTTCTAATAGATGGAGTTTGAATCACTTTATATCTCTTCTTTCTCTTTTGCTCAGTTAATTCTTGCTTTTTAATAAATATACTGATTAATTTATTGATAATTATGGAGTACTAATTGAGTGATGATTGTACATATTTAATCTTAGGTTCAAGGAGATAAGAATTGTTTATTTCCTGAAGATCCTGGTCAGGTATAATTTTTAAATAATTGATCCATTAGTTAATATCCTTAAAGGGATTAAAGATTTTGCATTTTTAAGATCTTATTCATTAATAATTAATTCTGTTATCTAATGAAGAAAATTTTTGTATAACTAAAGTGAAATGTCACCACCTTTATCAGATTTAATATTATTTAAACATATAAGGGGCTTGTTTTACTACTAACTAATTGGAAATTAATTGTAAAGTTGAATGCAAAATTCATTAATTAATATTTTTCTTACTTTTTTTTTTATTAATGTAGCTGCTACATGAAAATAGCTTGAAGAGAAAAGCAGCTGAAGAGGTAATTGAATAAAATGCTGTTTCTATTCTTTTATAATTTCTAGCACAATCTCTTAGCATTTATTTTTCTATTAAAAGTTTAAATTTTAAAAAAATAATATTAATAGTTTTTTTTTTCAATTCTACACATAATTAATATTATACATTACTCTTAAATCAGCATCTTATATTATATATTATGTTAATTGTGAAACATATATATATATATATAATTTATTTTTTTATTTCAATATGTGTAACATAAAGTGGATCAAATTTTGATATATTTTTAATTTTGTTGAAAATAATATTTTTTTATAAAAAAATATTTTTATTTACATTTAGGCCAGCCGAAATCAAAGAAGGGAATATTAATTATTGCAACTAGAAAATGTTGAGTATCGACAATGAAATAATAATTAAAAGAAAATAAAATTATTTACTCTCAAGTTTAACTTTCAAGAGTTAGAGACATCAAAATAAAATATCCAAATTATTGTCTTCATTTTTAAAATTTATCAGTAATTCAAGTTTTTATACTAGTGATAACAAAAAATACATCTTTGTTTCAATTTTTATGTGTTTATAATGTTGATATTTACTAATTAGGTTTCTCAAGAAGAAGCAAGGAAGGACCTACAAAGTAGAGGGCTGTGTCTTGTTCCAGTGTCATGCACACTTCAAGTTGGGAGTGACAATGGAGCTGATTATTGGGCACCTGCCCTAGGAGGAGCCTTTCGGTAGAAACCAAAATTTAAATTATTGGGGCAGCATATAGATATTAATTAACATATGCTAGCATGACTATAGGTAATTAAATTCATGGAAAATGATATAACATCATGAGCAGTCAATCTGCTCAAAAAAATTAAGGCTGATTGCTCATGATGCTATACTTCATATATAATTCCTGAATAAATTGTGTGCTAGCTAGCCATGATGATGAACTAGTATATTTGAAAGCCCTTATTAAGACTTTTTGATTGATTCATGTGTAATCAAGGTTTTATTTAGCTTTATTGGCAATTTATATTTAAGAGGTTGGTATTAAGGTCTATTTTATTATGTAAATGCTATATTTGTATTAATCATTTGAATGCTACCCCTTTTTTTTATCAACATTAAAAAATAGTATCATTATGATTGATTATAGACAGACCGATATAATTGTATATTAGGTTATTTATCGAGACCAATTTATTAAGTTTAAAAGAATAGGGTTAGGATGAAGCAATACAAAACTCATCGAAGGAATGTCGAGTGAGTATCAATGTAGAACTTAGATTGCCCATGACCTTATTGTATGGCATTAAAAATAGGCTATCTGGTGTGACTTTCACTTATCTCGTGAATATGGGTAATGATGTGGGCTATCTGGTGTGACTTTCACTTATCTAGTGAATATGGGCAATGATATGGTTGCATATGCTAATGTTATATATGAATCAGTCAAGGAGGAAAACCACGTCCTTCATGATTATAGAAAAAAAAAACTGATTCCCAAGCATCCCCCGCTCTTGAAGGAAATGGTAGAATAATCATTCCTGGGTCCAAGGATTCAGACCCAAGAGATTTTTAGATTTCTATAAATATCTCAACTTTAAGGTTGAAAAGTGAGATTATTTTATAACCTAAATCCAATGATACAGAGCTTGTCACCACTCTACGTGAGCTAGATCTAACACCATCAACAACCCTAAGCATCTCATACAACCCACGAAATACATGACTACCCTTATTTTCCATCTTTAGCAAATACAATTGTTGTGCAACATGGGGCCCTGGTAAAATTTAACGGGGCAATCTTTTTCATCAGAAAATCAACTTGCTTCCCACCTCTTTAACCCTCCTTTGAATGTAGTAAATAGGCAAGCAACACACTTGACTGACAACAGCTCTAGCGTCAACTAGGACGCCATAGCGGAGATATGTGTCGCTATGGACAATCTACATCGCCATAATAAACCTTGGAGGACAACATCCTTAACCTTTAACAACACTAGCAGGAGGCCGACTCCACCAAAGATATAGAGGTTCTGGACCTCTAACCTCTCTCTAAAAATATGGCGATCCCCCGTATCATAAAGTTTCAAGCCACCATCATTGGAAAATTTGATAGGCGGAGGGACCCCCAAAAGCATGTCGCATCCATCAACACATAGATGGTGATTATTGGAGCCCCTAATTCCCTAAAATGCATGGTTCTCTCTCTAGTACCTTCAAAGACGTAATTTTAAGGTGGTAGATGATCCTAAAAGGACTCTCAATCACCAGCTACCAGGACCATGTAAAGAAGTTGGTCCTTCAATTTTCAACGAGTAGGCACAGAAAGATGTCAACCACCAGCCTGTTCAACATTCTCCAAAGCCCTTCAAAATTATTAAGAGAATATCACATCTAGTTAAATGAGTCAACCATTAAGGTCATTCACCCAACAAGGAGATGTTCGTAGGAGCCTTCTAAAATAGATTAAGAGTTGTGCATTTTAATGAATCCCTTTCCCAAAGACTTTCTATTTCCATGGAGAAAGTGGGGATGCATGCAGAGTGCTACATAAAGAGCAAGGAAATCAATCATCAAGTTGCTTTAGATATCAAGGGTGAGATACCTATTGAAGCCCAAGATCCAAGAAGGGAAAGGAACCCTATAGATGAGGAAAAAATAGCCTTGTGCGTCACACCCTCAACCGGATATCACAGACCTAGACTTACACAAAAATCGATGTAAGTAGACAAAAACATAGCCAAGTGTTAAAGGTGTGAGAAAACACAAGAAAGTGGTGTTTGAATTGGATTTTCAAAATGAAAGAGTTTTGTGAAACTCAAACAAAGATCACAAATAAACTAACAAGAGAGAAAGACACACGATATATCCTGGTTCACTTGAAAACTATCAAGCTAATCCAGTCCATCCGCCAAGGTGATATTTCCTTATACACAAGGACTTAATCCACTATAATCAACCGATTAGACTGCACTAGCAACCACTGGTAACTAACAACCAAAAGACAAACTGTCTCTTCTTAAGGATTCTGACCTAACTTGCCCCTTAAGGAATCACATACAACTGTTTGAGCAAAGATGTTTACAATAAATTACTTCTACACAAGCAGATATAAATACTATTAATAGTTCAAATGAATTAAAGAAACTTTTGCAGTATGAAAAATGTTCTTTCTTTGTATTATGGTGCTATTAGATGCCAAATTTCGCTTATTTAATCTACCAAACGTTGGCATCTTATACTCATTTTTGTCAAGAAAGTGTTGAAAACCACTCTTGCTCTGGTTGGTTTGCAACATTATGAGAAAACCTCTTGGTACCTTTGATTTGTGTGTTATTGTGCAGGGATTAGGCACAAAACAAGTGAAAAGTAAGACAAAAGAAATGGGCAAGGAAACCAAGACAACATGCAAACAACAACAAGTTCGCTAGGCGAACTTGCTAGCGAAGCTCCCTCCAAAACATCATAAAGTTTGCTAGGTGAACTATGAAGCGAAGGACTCGCTAGGCGAAGTGGTAGCGAAGCTCTAGCGAACACTCCCAGACTTAGACAGAGGCGAAAAGGACCATAAACTCGCTAGGCGAAGTTTACAACGAAGGATTTGGTAGGCAAAGGAATGCTCGCCTAGCGAACGTTTGGAAAAGTCTCAGGGGCGGTTTGACTGTTCAGAGGCACCTCACGTGCCTAACTTACTGTTCGCTAGGCGAAGGATTTGTTCGCTAGGCGAAGGATCTGTTCGCTAGGCGAACATGATAGATCATGAATGTTCTACTTAAGTTTTTTTATTGCTTTTTAGGTCAGAGGTTATTATATGTAACATTTCTTACATCAGAACTTATCTCTCTTCAACTATTTTAGAGAGAGAAACACAAAACCCTAAGAGGGAGGAGGTAAGATCTTTGATCTCTTGTTGGGGTTTGGATGTAATCTTTTTATACCTTATGTATTTCATCTAGTATATGTTTGTGAACTATTTTGGATTCTCTATTGATTGATTATCTTTGATTGCTTATTTGTGGGTCTTGACAAAACCTTTTCACATCTTTGATCTCAGATTTTCTTCTATCAATGAACAAACTTTTGACATGGTTTTGTAAATTGATATTTATTGTATCCTCTTTGGTATTGTGTTGATTAAGTAGCATGGGTAGCATGAGTAGGACCAATACGATATTGTGCGGGTGCGTGATAATAATGATGATGAACGATGTTCATAACCATTTGGCAGATTAGGTGAATACATGTAAAAAGGGTTAAGCGTGTGTACGTATTCTGATCATTGTGTTTTATATGAAACAATCGTTTATCCAATATGGGTGTCGTCTTTGCTTACCTGTTTATCTTTGATTTGAACCGTGATAAAGATATACTCTTTAGATCTGGATCTAGGATGATTACCTGTTAGGTCCTAAATGCTAGAGATAGGTTTAGGCTTAGCATTTGCGTGAGTATAAGTTCGTAATGCTCCGTGTTGTATTTTTGTTGGATGAGAGATCACCAATGAGACAACATGGTTGTTCTATCGACGCTGCGTTAGAGATAAGCTTTGTCGTGGGTGATACATAAGGGTATTACACGAATGATTGCGTTGTTGTCGCGGTGAAATTTGGATACCAAACTATTGATTAGTTTGAATCTTATTCATTTGCAACCGAACTTTGATTTGTCCAAAGGAAGGGATAAAGATCGAAATTCCCACGATGCAATGCACATGCAAAGGCTAGAGAGTTATAGGTTCGGGGGTCGGTTAAACTTAAGGAAGGTGCTAGCATCCTAAGTTTTTGTAGTACTCTACAGGAACATCTTATTTTATGTTGTTTATTGCTATGTGTTATCTGCTTAATGGTTGAAAGACCTAGGGGTTTATTTCTAAGTATACTCGATAAGATATCGCATCTTATGCCTACATATCCTTACGGGAGTGGAATCAGAGTATCTGTAGTTCCCCTAAAGGGTATGAGGAGTTCTTTGACTGTGGTCAAAGTTCCTACGGGTTTAGGGTAGTTGATTGATTGAGTTTAGGAGAAAAGGTGAGTTGTCATTTTAAGAGAGATTTAACCACCACAAATTGTAGGAAAATAGTCTTTGCATCATCTTAAGAGAAGGACTCAAGTACTCGGATATTGATCGACGAGTACGCCTCTATCTCTCTTAAGGCAAAGTCTCTACATGTTGATTGTATTGTTGTGGGGTGGAGATTCTATCTCGCTTAAGATGATTAACATCTATTTCTCTATTGTGTTTGAATATTGTTGTATTGAGTTGTTGAATGTTTGTTCTAAGTTGTAAAGATAAAGAACGATCCTTCCTATGGGGTAAGATCTAATCTTAAAGATCGACTTGAATGGGATCAAGGATCATGTGGGAGAATGATGCAAATGATGTGCACTACACACGAGTGTTGACTCATGTGTAGGTTTTTCCTTTGGACGAAATGCGATGCGATAATATAAATGCGGTGATGAAAATTGTGGAAAGAAATAAATTGCGGAAATAGTGAAGGGCAAGTAAGTAAAGCATACACATACGCATGAAAGCGCTAAAGTGTGTGAGAGTGAATTGTGAAGTGTAAGCGTGAGCGTGCACGATTAGGTTTAGTTTTACGATGTTGGATTGGTTTTAGGCGAATTGCTTGGTTTTAGGAGAGGTCGAATTGATTTTAAGAAAAATGTTAATTAATTTAGTGAGATGGATTTTTTTTAAAAAGGTGTTAATTTGTTCGTTTGTTTTAATATAAAAAC